TCAGAAGAGCCCCCTTGCACACAACTTGGGTAACCAAACACGCCCAGGACACTGCGGGGTCGGACGGATGCAACTTCGAAGAAAGTGGCAAGACCACAGCAAACTGTCCGCGATCGGCCTCGAAGATGAAGACACCTCCACGTGCTCCTCTGTAGACTCCACCAACCTCGCTACACGGCATCGCGAAGCACAGCAAATACGGAGCTGCACCCACACACCGCTGCGCTCGACGCAACGAGCGCAACACCCACCCCGACCTTCCGAACACAGATCCTCCTACACCTCAACCGGTGCGCACCAAAGGAACCCTTCTCACACCACCACACCGGCCAGATTGCCACCTCCATCCGCAAGCCATCGCGACCAAACAACCTTGGCATTGTGAACTTGTACTTGGCAGGGTCTCCACAATCCTTCCAACACATCCAAACACCACCTTGCAACGACCCAAGAAGAACGGAGATGGCCTGGCCTGGACCAGCGCCTTCATCAAACAGATCTGGAGCCTACACTTCAACCCTTGGACCAACCGAAATGAAGCCGTCCATGGCACTACCCTCACTCCCACCCAACTATCCCAACTGGACACTCTACGCGACGGGTTCGACAACAGTATACCCAAGGCACATAGGCCTACTCCCCGTCGACCACTGGAGAGTCCACCCGGACACCAAAACCCACCACCTTACATTCACTATCGACAAGACAAAACGATGGCTTGAATCTACCTCCCTGGCCCGAACAGAATTCCAGAAGAAACTTGCTCCAGCGAATCGACAGCTCCAACGGCAACAGCAACTGATGATCACACATTTTAGTCTTAATCCGGATTAGGCCACTGCGCCCCCGTCACTCCACGAGGAGGCATTCCCTGTGGTAGCGGAGAAACAAGGACCGTTCCCCTCTCGTTGGGGAACGGAGGTGAAAGACGAGCGTAGACTAGTTAGCTAGTTACCATCGTGCTTCTATGAGGTACATCCTCTTGTTCCAATGAAACTGAATGCTATCCCCTCGTGTCGTGCGAACACCCACATAAACGACTCAGTTGCTTGGGCCCTCGGGCTCGATTCGTACCAGCGTTGACAAAAGGTCCTCCGGACCAGATAGGTAGTCTGCCTAAAACTAGTACTTTTTATATATATACTGTATGTATACATTGTTCTTGTTGGTTATGGAGCACAGCTAGTGATCTCCTGATCTCACAGCAAATTGAAATCTTGGCTTTATATTCCACAGTGGCCCTCATATGACTGCAAACACAAGAAAAACAGAAACCAAAGTTGTGGTCCGGGGAAAGAGTGCAAAAGCAACAGATGTTCCTGGTGGAAGTGCACATAAATGGCTGAGTGGGTAAGAAGCTGTGCCTTCCATGAATGCACATGCCGATCTGGTCGAAGAGGATCTCTCCTACTAGGACGGACCAGGTAGCTAAGCCACATCATGGCCCATGAAGAGAACAAGAAAACAAAACAAACAATGAAAGATGAGCCAATGGCCGCCAAACCACAGAAACAGAATGCATACATTTGCCCTTGCAAACAAAAGATGAGCCAATGGCCTCAAAAACTCCTTTAGCATAACACACGCACTTATTATTACACTTCCTTCTCTATCGAAACCACCCAAGACTATAAAAGGGTCTCTCTCTCTACAGTATTGTATGAGGAGCCACAGGCTGTTTAGTGATGGCGGCTGTTGGCTGGCTGGAACCATGGAACCATGGTATGCCCTTATAGAAGGCTCTTTTGGACTGCTTTGAGACACCAGAGCAAAACTCCAAAAAGCAACTCGAAGGAACCTTCGACCGAAGGAGTGTTTCTAGTCCTGATACTCTTCTTTGCTGAAGCCTGGCCCCAGTTGGCTGACCTAGATAATCCACCTACTCTAAAGCCCCGTTTGATTGTGTTTCTCTGTGATGTGCCGCTTTTCATATTGTTTTCCCTGAGGCGGGACAGTTCTTAAATACCTTGCATGTGCACCGCGTGGGTTCGAGCAATGCTAAACCTCTTCCTTGGCGTTTAGATACATTCTATTCACTTGCCAATCATGGCCACATTGAAATATTGGAATGGCTGCATGAGAAAGGTTGCCCCTGGCATGAACATGCGTACACCAGAGCTGCTGCAAATGGCCGATTGGATATTGTTTTGAAATGGCTGCATGAACGTGGCTGTCCCTTGGAGGACTCATGGACATGCCCTGCAGCTGCTGCAAATTGGGCCACTTTGAAATATTGAGATGGCGGCATGAGAATGGTTGCCCCTGGAATCAAGATACATGTGAGGCAGCTGCTGCAGGGGAGGGGCACCTTGAAATGTTGAAATGGCTGCATGAGAATGGTTGCCCATGGAATTTGTACACAGATAATCCGGGTACATGCTTCCATGCATGCTGCTCTCAATGGCTACTTGGATATTTTGAAATGGGCACGTGAAAATTGTAGTCCTTGGGATTGGAGAACCGGAATTGTTGCTGAACATGAATGAAGGGCACCAGGAAATTCTAGAATGGTGCATTGCCAATTGATGGCTGTCCTGCCCCACCGCCCAACATGAGCCACTAATTTGGAGACCCTTCGTCAAGTGGTGCATGATACGGTAGGCATGAGTGGCGTGTGTGTTCTTGATTGGACGGACTTGCATTGCATTCTCATCCTGAGGATTTTGCTGACTGACTGGCCCTGACCATCCTGTACGGCACGGTACGATGTACACCCTCACAAAAAACCCTCCCTTTCGTTTCATTGGAGCTTGGCTGACCGAAACGGCGAGCATGGTGCCATAGCTAGCTGGCGTAGCTAGCTAGTAGTCAAGGATACTATACATGCATATAAATATATATATTTAGAACAAGGAACACTGGTAATCATACGCTATCATACATGCCGCAAGTATAATAGCTGTCACCGAGGAACCGTATTATTATGGCATGCACGCACGCACGTAGAACGTAGTCTAGCTAGAGGAAAGGAGGCTACCGTATGGTGCATTCGTGGACTCGTCTCGTCTCGTCTCCACCAGAGGGCTCGTTCTGTTCGAGCCACCGATATGAGGCACAGGTGCGCCAACAGAACGAGGGCGGTTGCATTCTCGTTACGAAAGGTGGAAACGACTCCACTCGACTCGACTTGTGAAGCGGGGGGTCTAGCTAGCTAGCTAGAGTACCGTAGAAAAGTTCCAGAATGATGGAATAATTCGATTCGATTCCCTTCCATTGAATTCAATTCATAATCCATCGGAGATGTTGCCAAGCTAGCTATAGAATTTTAGATACTGTGGACACAAGTCGAGAAACTACAAATGATCGCGCAAGCGATCGACAGCTATAAATTCTACCGCGATCGGCAGACTATTTTTTGTCGGGGTAGGCATCGTTTTGGCTCTTCTCAACTCTTTTTGTTTCATTGTGGATTGTTTGTTCTTGCCGTATCTATACATACTGGTACCTATTTATTTTTGCATCATTTGTCGAATCTCCTGTAACTCCTCCACAGTGGTTCCCTGCAGATGCCGTTGATCTTGTTGGAACTGGTCTGCCAAGGTTAGTAGTTTTGGTTTCTTCTTTTTGCTTTTGTTGTTTTGTGCTGATTCAGTAGTTCCTTTTTTTCGAGTAGTCGATTGTTGTTGCTGTTTCTCTTGTTTCATGGTTGCCATCAATTCGTGTCCTTTCGCTTGGGCGTGTAAAAGTTGATCCCGTCCGGCTACCATTGCGTGTACTTTGGGAGGCAATTCTTGTACGATCTTGCTAGTAGTGTGTTGTTGGATCGACTGATTGGTTTCTTGGGCCCATTGCGCTTTTTGTTGCATTTTGTTGATGTCAAGTTGCTGCTGGATTCGTTTCTGACGGGCTTGTTGGAGTTTCCCACGCAAAGTCTGGATTTGGTCGTCCAATGCAGTCAATTCCGTTGGAGAGGGAATGTCCTGGGCCGTCACCATCTTGACGTTGGTTGTAGTAGTACTAGTAGTCATAGTGGTGGCCGTCTCCTTGTCATCATCTGATGTCTCTTGTGTAGTAGAAATAGTAGTACCGCCATGGCCGTCATTGCTTCCTTCTTCTTGTTGAAATTCTCGTACAATTCTATTTCGAAAATGGGACGTCCGATGAGCCACGGTGAAAATGTGTTGATCTCCATACAACTTTGTGAGGTGTAAATACTTGTCATAGGAAGAACGCAACCACCGGAGCATGGTTGGATGACGGCCGTCTTCATCATCATTGTCGCCATTTGAAATGAGAGGCAACGACGCCACACCCGACTGTAAGGCCGCTTCGACTTTTTCTTTCAGCGCATCCGACAAGCGATCATTGCTGTCGCCAAACAAAATCACGTCTTCCTCGGCTGCCATCTTCTTCTTCTTCTTGATCTTCTGTCTTTATTGTCTTTGTCTTTGTCTTCTGTTGCGATCGAGGAGGTGATGGAGGAGGTGACGGTTGAGGAGGAGGCAAGGCGTGAAGACGGCGCGAACCTGTTGAGCAATTGTGCGTCTCACGTTCGGGTTCTCGACGCGCTTTCCGATGCTGTTGCTCTCACTTACTTTTTAGATCTTTCCTGCCTTGCGACACAGCGTTCCGTCTGGGCACGACGATCGTAAGTGAGTTCTGCAAAACTTTATTTTCAGTGAATGAACAAAACTTTCAGTGATCATAGAACGGGATTTTCAGTAATGAACGCAAGTTTCAGTAATGAACGCAAGTTTCAGTAATGAACGCAAGTTTCATCAATGAGAAAAAATTTCAGGAATAAAAAAAGGTTTCAGGTGAAGCTTCTGCATTGTTGATGATTTCGGCGAACATTTTCCCCACTACCGTAGCTACACATAGCTTCTGGTAGCTACCCATACAGTACGGTAGGGAAAAGGACACCTTTTGTCGTGTGGTGATGGAGGAGGTGGGAGTTTTGGTGCAAGAGATCTTGGCAAGAAGGCGCGAACCTCAACTTTAGAGCAGCTGTGCGTTTTAAAAACAATCCTGAGGGTTCTCGTTTGTCCTTTCCAATGCCGTGCTCTCACTTTTTAGATCTTTCCTGCCCAACACCATGCACCCACGCAAGGATCCATCTGTCCACGACGACAATGACAATGACAATGACAATGACGAGGAGGAAGACACTCGACGAGATGGCCCCGGACGGTTCCACTATGATACAGTACTAGTAGACTACTGTATGAGTGGCAAGTAAGTCACCACCACCGACGATGAGTGAGTCCGATGAGAGATCCTCACTTTTTTCGTTTCGGCCTCCTTGCTTGCATTGCATGATGGCATGCACGAACCAAATTAGACTACAGTATTATGGATCACCACCCCTCCAGTGAAAGAGGTGCCCACTGGACTGGCCAGCAGAAAAGGATTGATACAACCCACCATGTCACGGGATGGCACTGCACTACCGTATTCCTCAGAGACGCCAGCTGAGCCACAACCGTCATTGCCACGGTCGCACACGTAGTACTGTCGACGCATGGCAAAAACGCAAGGAAAAGACTTCTCACCACCAAAATCAGAGACCAAAGAACAAGAAGAAAACGCTGTGACGGGAATCCAAGCATCACCAGTTGCCACACGACGACCAACAAGTATTTTACAAGCCGCACTGGAAACTGGAAGCGAAAGCAGTGCTATCGCCGTGGAAAGCAGGAGGTTTTTGTCCTACCGTACAGGATTCATGAAACAACAGCCATTCCATTGGCACAAGAATTAGCTATTTATTGTTGGGACGTCACACGTACGACATGGACAATGATCATCATCGACATCCGCACTAGTAGGGAGTTGCCTTTTTGCATGTCGACCACAATGTCAAGCAAAACTAGGGTACATGTAGTCTATCCTGGGTTTGGTGTCCCTGAACTGTCTTTGTGCCTGTCCTTGAATGGGGTTCCTGTTCCTCGGGTTGGCTGTCCTTGGTTGGGAGTCCTCAGTCTGCTTGATTCTATTGTGCTTGGGTCGCCACTGGGGAAGTTGCATTTGCCTTTGCCATGTGGACCGCAATGTCCAGAAAAACTAGTGTTCACTGCCTTTGCCTCCTTGGGGATTGAGTCTGCCTTGATTCTATTGTGCTTGGGGAGCCCCCTTGGGAAGTTTGCCTTTGCCATGTGGACCGAAATGTCTGGAAACCTAGGGTACACTGCCTCTGCCTCCTTGGGGATTGAGTCGAGTCTGCCTTGATTCTATTGTGCTTGGGGAGCCCCCTTGGGAAGTTTGCCTTTGCCATGTGGACCGAAATGTCTGGAAAACTAGGGTACACTGCCTCTGCCTCCTTGGGGATTGAGTCGAGTCTGCCTTGATTCTATTGTGCTTGGGGAGCCCCCTTGGGAAGTTTGCCTTGCCATGTGGACCGAAATGTCTGGAAAACTAGGGTACACTGCTCTGCCTCCTTGGGGATTGAGTCGAGTCTGCCTTGATTCTATTGTGCTTGGGAGCCCCCTTGGGAAGTTTCCTTTGCCATGTGGACCGAAATGTCTGGAAAACTAGGGTACACTGCCTCTGCCTCCTTGGGGATTGAGTCGAGTCTGCCTTGATTCTATTGTGCTTGGGGAGCCCCTTGGGAAGTTTGCCTTTGCCATGTGGACGAAATGTCTGGAAAACTAGGGACACTGCCTCTGCCTCCTTGGGGATTGAGTCTGCCTTGATTCTATTGTGCTTGGGGAGCCCCCTTGGGAAGTTTGCCTTGCCATGTGGACCGAAATGTCTGGAAACCTAGGGTACACTGCCTCTGCCTCCTTGGGATTGAGTCTGCCTTGATTCTATTGTGCTTGGGAGCCCCCTTGGGAAGTTTGCCTTTGCCATGTGGACCGAAATGTCTGGAAAACTAGGGTAACACTGCCTCTGCCTCCTTGGGGATTGAGTCTGCTTGATTCTATTGTGCTTTGGGGAGCCCCCTTGGGAGTTTGTTTTGCCATGTGGACCGAAATGTCTGGAAAACTAGGGTACACTGCCTCTGCCTCCTTGGGGATTGAGTCTGCCTTGATCTATTGTGCTTGGGGAGCCCCCTTGGGAAGTTTGCCTTTGCCATGTGACCGAAATGTCTGGAAACTAGGGTACACTGCCTCTGCCTCCTTGGGATTGAGTCTGCCTTGATTCTATTGTGCTTGGGGAGCCCCTTGGGAAGTTTGCCTTTGCATGTGGACCGAAATGTCTGGAAAACTAGGGTACATGTGGACCGAAATGTCTGGAAAACTAGGGTACACTGCCTCTGCCTCCTTGGGGATTGAGTCTGCCTTGATTCTATTGTGCTTGGGGAGCCCCCTTGGGAAGTTTGCCTTTGCCATGTGTTAACCTCATTTTCAACTATGATGGAGATGTGTTGGAGCATCTTTTGTTGAGGAGGGAGAGGTGAAAGAGCTCGAGCTGTTGTGGCCTGGAGAAGTGAGAACCTCAAAAGATCAACTGTGTGTCTTTTTAGAACGCTGAAACCCACAACAAAAGGGTGCAACAACAAGAGGGGGGTTTAGAGTAGGGAAATTATCTACGGAAGCCAGCCGGGGCCAGGCTTAAGCAAAGAACAGTCGAAATTCAGGACTAGGTTCTGTGGGATCAGGGGCAAGCAACTGAGGACCATTACGGGGGCCAAATCAAGATGGTGATCATGAGGAAGAGGAAGACACTAGCTAGACGAGACGGCCCTGGCGACCCGGAGGGCAATCGGTTCCGCTATTACGCACTTGTCCCACCAGCAAAACAATCACCAAGATGCCACCGGTGGTCAAGATGGATGGTCCTATAGAAGAGGTGGTGATGATGAAGGGTGTCTGGTACGTACTGTGGTACTCAAAAGCAAGCAAAAAGATTGGCACAAGCGAAAGACAGATCCTCATATCTTCGTTTCTGCCTTCTTGATTGGATACACGAACGTAATAATACACGAACCTGATCGGCACCCCTCCCAGGCTCACGTAACACGATGGACCTTGACGTTTGGTGGGGAGGCAGGCTGCCAGTGAAGACGTGCCAACTGGCCAGCAAAGGATTGAAGATACTAGCTAGCTCAGTTAGTTGGAACAAGCTTTCGATTTTGGAAGAAAAGCAGTGACGAAGAACAAGTTCCACAGGACCGTCACAGAGAGGCAGATACCCATGTCGCGGGATGGCACTCTATCTCACTGGGGACACCACTGTCCTCTCCACGGTCGCATCTTGGCAGTACACGTGGTAGAGACACTGCAAGAACGAGAAGGTCACGAGGAGGACGCAAGGAGAAAACTTCTCGTCACGGGATGGGTTAATTTCCTGAAGTCCTGAAGTGCTGCAGTGGGTCACCCAACTGCTAGTTCTATTACAACAAGTGCTTCTCCATTACTGAGTTCTACAACAACAAGTGTTTCTGGAGTCAGCAAAACACACCGGCAACCACGAAATCGTACCCAGCAGAGACCAAAGAAGAAAAGGATGGATTTCAGAAAGGTGAACCATTGGTGGGAGCCATCATTGTCCGGCAAAACACTGAGATGGGAAGCATCACCCTCACAAGATGACGACTACAAGCCACAGATGATGTAAGCGAAAGCAGAAGTGGTATTGCCGTGGAAAGCAGGAGTGTCTCCTCCCCTCCAATGGAAACGACGATGATGTCATCTCGTCAGAAACTGACACTACAATTACGCAATCGCATCATCACCACCAAGATGTCAATCATCGTCCCACTGGCAGTAGTCAGGATGCTCCTGCAGACGGCTGAACTGTTTCCACGTCACAAATCACTATTGCCTGTGAAACGAACACAACAATGCGGCGAGGAGAAGATCTGTTGTCCTCACTGGCCAAGCTTTTGCCACAGCTGACTGGTTAGGGTTTTGCAGTCAAGTCGATAGATAATTTTTCCCGTCCCTGCAGGACATCCGCCAGTTTGTCCGAGACAATCATGTTGAAAGCTGGATGCATGGACGTGTTTTCTTGTTTGTGATGATTGTGCAAGGTGGGAAGACTGGGGAGGAACATGCAAGGTCTTTTACAACTTCGCAACTGTTCCAAGGCCTCGGAACATACCATGATGTCCATCATGCACGTAGCCCCTGGTGATAACAGTGTAGCCCTTTGGAGCGCTTGTGGGCTGGGTTCAAGATGCTCCATGCTGAGTTAGAACTGCTGAGGTGACGAAGTTGACAGTTTTGAGCTTGACCATGCGCTGGGAGAAATCAGCCAGTGAGAAGGATGGCTTGAAGTTCAGTGAGCATGTCGCGAACTGGGTGCGGCCACTGTTACAATCGGCCTTGTTGGCAACATGGAGAGGATTGGTGGAGGATGGGGCATCCGTCACTTGCACCCAAAGGGCCTCTTGGAGGCTTTTGGGGTGGCTGGACATGTCGGTCTCTTTGAGGAACACTGGGAACGTGTGAGGCTCAAACTGTATCCTGTGCTCGTTGCCTCACTACGGTTGCTCGGGTCTATTCAGTCTCGGAAGGATGGTGGACAGGAAGGAGACTAGTGGGTTCTGTCACCTCTTGGGTGGAGCCATGGCTCAAACGCCGGTGGTTCACAGGCCCTTTCTGCCGATTGCAGTAGCCGTGGCTAAGGAACCAGAGCTAGGGGTGGCTCAGTCAGAACAAAACCAGGAATATCCGGGTGATTACACGCCCAAGATTGATGGCTGGAGAGGAGTCGGACGGAGAGGAGTCAGATGATGAGTATTTTTGTGCGACAAGTCTGACCTGGAGGAAGACGAGTCAGTTGAGGAGCCAGCGCCCGAAAGGACGAAGAACTTGACATGGCGCCAATGTGAGAAAGACTCATGAAAAGATGGTGGTGAAGGCTGATGATGCTGAGATTTCCTCGGGCCTTTTGCGCCCACTGAGTGAGTCATCACGACATCCAACCGGCGGATGGAGGAGGACTGGAAGTCGCAGGATCGACTGGTTCGACTGGTGTATATCCTGAGGATATCTGTCTGCTTAGTTGGGCACAAAGAGATTTCAGGTCTTGCATGCTTGGTTGAAGAAGGCACACCCTGACCATGTTTCAGAACTGATGGGACAGTGGATGGAGGCTTTGAAAGCATGGGGGAGCCCAGCTTGCAAAATTGCACGGATGAAGAAGGGCAGAGGATCCAGGACTGGTTCTTCAATGTGCACTCCTACAGAAGCCCACAGAAGAGGTGCCGACACGTTCCTTGTGAAGCTTCGAGGTTGTGAATCAATGGAAGGAAACTCGCACAAGGTCTACAAAGACGGACAATGGAGGAAGAAAGCCAATGGCAGCATAGAGGCCATGCCCAAGCACTACGACGAATTGACACTTCAAGAAAGGCTGCATATCAGCCAGTTACGGTTTTTAGTCCTACCCTCAGGCATCCATGCATTGGCAACATAGTGGGGCACTGACTGAGAGGCCAGAGAGGCGACCATGGGGGAAATATCTCCGCTGTTCATTGGTCACTCTCACTCTTGTCCTCCTTCTTCATCTTCTTGGTGGCACGAGAGCGCCAAGGGCAACGAGATATGACCTCTTTCTTCAAGCAACGGCTCCATTTGGCAGGGACCCCCTCTTCTAATTCTGTGGTTTCATTGGTGTTGGATAAGTACAAATTGCGAGCACTACATTTCACGGCCGCAATGGCAAATGCCTTCCCTTCGGGGACTCCCTTGGTGATCTGGGGACGGCCACACAAGACGTGGACGTTGACAAGCACACAAGCAACAAAGCCAATTGCAAACTCACACTCGGCGAAGACCATCACTGACAAAAGACAGACCAAAAGCCAGAGTCACGATCAAACAGAAATCTCCACCGACGAGACCGGTGCAAATGAAGTTGCCATCCACATGGTCCGAAGCATGTTCACGACCATGCAAAAATCTGACTGCAGGCTCTTGCTCCAAGGGGCCCTGTCAGATATCTGGACAGCTGATGGCCAGCACATCGAAGCATCAGCATGGCGAGGTACTCAATCAGAAAAGGGTTGCCAATCACACAGTCAGTCCAATAATGGGAAGTATGGCAATATCTAAGGGAGTCAGCTTTCTCTTTCCTCGGGCTAACCGTCTGCGCCTTAGGGAATCGACTTGGTGGCTACACGAACCAACGGACACACTGTTTCGAAGGAAGGCTAACGACACCCGGACACAGTTTTCGAGGTCCCCGAGACGATCACAAGTCCCCAAGTACCACGCTCCTATTCCCTTTCAAGACGACACCATCCCCTCCACTTGCAAACGAGTCAGCGTGCATTCGACCCAAACAGCCCAATATGTGTCACTCCTATGCTCCAGTTTCACATCCGAAATCCTACTCCCACCTCCCCAGGATCTACCTTGCACACTTGAAGCGCTACACAAAGCCACACAAGCACTCCAACTGACTGATAATGGGTCCACCATCGCTCAGGCAATCACCCATGGCGCCAGGAAGAAGCCTCCACACAGACAGGTTCGACCGGATCAAATGGCAGCAGTCTTCTAGGGCTTTGGTGACGCCTCTGGGGCAGGGTTTGGAGGCTTTGGTGAAAGCTGGTCCCACCACGTTGAGGTGGTTTTGGATGAGGACGGAAACAAAATCATGAAGGATGGAGACATTTCATTGATGGACGAAACGGTGATCACATGCTACCGTAGTGTCACATGCTAATGCCATATCAATGTGAGCTATGTCAATTGACCCGACATTCACAGACAAGGACACGATACTGCTGGAGTAATGTGCGGAGCTAGCTCGGACGCTTTTGGCGGGGGCGAGAAGCCTGAGCAAACGAATCCCGTTTGAAGTGGATCTTGACCACTGAAGCCAGGTTTGGAGTGGAAGGAGGAATTCTTTCGTCCTTGGGGCCATTTCCTTTGAATGACGGGAATGAGAGCCGCTGTGGCAAGGTTGAACTAGTTGATGGATGAAGGTGGATACGCCAACCAGGTGCAGTGGGCAAACATTCGGAGAATCAGAGGAGCTATCACAAGTGTGTCTTCCATGCGGTGGGAATCAATCTCAGGGACCAAACGTGGATTTCGGAATCTCCTGTCCATGGATTGTTCTTAGCCCGATTTGCCACAGGACAGCGTTGTTGGTTGAGTAAACACATACAGGAAGCGATGTCAAATGCAGCATGGGCCAGGGTTGAGGGACTCGACTCGTGTTGGATCGCATGGGCTGAAATGAGTGTGGATGTCCAACTCACACTCACTTCTCCAGATTCATGGTGGGCATCAAGAGGTGATCTGGATGCTTCGCTCCTTTCCATCGAAGCCTCCTCCATGAGTCAAAACCGGATACTTCACCTCGAAGTCTTTTCCTCCTCCGTGAGTGTGAACTGGATGCTTCACATCGAAGCCTCCTCCCTGAGTCAAAACTGGATACTTGATGCTTCACATCGAAGCCTCCTCCCTGAGTCAAAACTGGCTACTTGATGTCGAAGCATGCAGCACCATGTCTCGATTCGACGGCGAATGACTCCAGCGCCATCATGGCGTTTCTTTATTTGAATACGGTTCGTTGGCGAATGATTCCGGCACCGGCGTTCTATATTGACCGCCAATCGATGGCGACGACCGCTCCTGGAGACTGAAACCGGAACGCGACGCCCGACGACGATGCTGATGGTGGCTGTGAAATCGACGGGACACTTCGTTAACGACGACTACAGGCCATGACTGCTGTTCGATTCCAGCACCCTGGCGCTGTTTATCCTTTGGCCACCATTCGATGGCGCCGACTCCTCTTGGAGACTCAAACACCGGAAAACGATGACGCTGCTGCGGAACCGAATCAGAATCGGAACACGAACACGATGCTTGAAAGTCGTTTGTTTCCCAAGGCTTCGACTGATGGCCCCTTATGTCTTGCCCATTGCTTAAGTTCAGTACTCCCAAGGACTCTTCCAAGGCTATGCGAATTTCAAAGGTTCTTCCATCTGATCGTTCTCACTTGCAGAGGCTTTGGATTCCCAAGCTTGTCGCTTTTGCAATCGATTCACAGGCTTAAAACCAAGCAGCAATCTTGTGCTTGGCGTTGCATTGTTCCAAAGCTACCAGACAGTTGCTTGCTCCATTCAAAAGCTACCTGCCCTGGTAGCTTTGTCTTCCACTGTCTTTTGGCTCCTTCGACCTCCAACCATTTAATGGGATGGGTTAATTTCCTGAAGTGCAGTGGGACTGGGCCAGACTTAAGGGTGACTTCAGCAGATTACAGATCCCACCTCAGCAACCACACCCTGACTTCGGCACTCTGTACATCACCAACAAAGGCTTCTGGAGCCCCTTCCACCCCACCAAAGACTCAAATGGGTTGCTCTGGATCGCTTCCAGGCTCATCCCCAGCCACTTAGCCAATCACGTCCACAGTAACTTCACCAGTCTCGTCTACAGTCACTTCCATGGCATTGTCTCCAGTCTTGTCCCCAGCTTCGTCCTCGGAAGAGCTCCTAGAGCCCATACTCCATGCGTCCACGCACCATGATTGCAAAGCTCTGCAGAGAATGGTGTCAAAGTGGGTGCTGAGGTAGCTCTGTCTGTATTGCACGGGAATGCCCATGCATTTGAATTTGTGATGGTAATATGATGTTGCCATTGCTTCGGAGTCATCCTTGGGAGGGATTCTGTGCACAAGGAAATGATCAACTTCTGCAATCTTGTGACCACATGAGGTGCAATCAAAGTGCTCACCAGGATAGGGCTTTTCCTGTAAGTCCAACCAGGCACTCCCATGCTTCTTCTCCTTGCTAACTGGCTGACCCTACTCTGTCTTTCCTTGGATTGTGCCTTGTCATCATTACCAGGTGTGGTCTCTGTAGCTGATTTCGATTGAGTTTTCTTCTTTTTTGTCTGTCCTGGTGATGTCTTCTCTGTAGACTTGGGAGGTGCCTTCTTGGAAGGTGCCTTCTTGCTTTTTGTAGCACTGGATGATGTCCTATTGTTGGATGCTTGGGAGACTGGTTTGGAGGGTGATTTGGTATGTGCTTTCTTCTTCTTTTCCTTGCCTGCACTTTTCCATTTTTTCTCCAATTCCTGTGACAATTCCCTCAGCTGATCCTTTTTGGATTTTGCTGTCCCTCTTTGTCTTTGTCTTGTGTGACTGCCATCATTGTTGCTCTGACGGTTGGTTCTTGGTCTAGTTCTTTGAGCTGCCATGATCTCTGCTGGGATATGGTTTCCTCCATCAACATACAAGTGGTCCAGAAAACTGAATTTGTCTGGATCCTGGGAGCAGTGCGTCCTGTCCAGTACTTCATACAGAAGAGTATCAACTGCATAGAATCGACCAGACCGATCTCTTTGACCTTTGGCAGCTCTCTCACAGTACATGTACCTATGCTTCTTGCCAACACCCATTCCGTCATAGAAAAGGTACCCATCGGGAGTCACCACAAATGATCTGAAGTGATAGCGGTTGCACAAGAGCATCCCAGACTGGAGTACAAACCTTTTGCCGCGGTAGCAGAATTCAGTTGGCCACTGGTCAATGAATTTTCTTCTATCGTTGATAGTACCTGATGGGTAGTACATGATCATGGTATGGGGCCATTGGGAGATCTCTGCCGATTCCATTTCACATTTGCCATTGCACTGCCTGTGAGAAATGTTATTCTCATGGTCGACCTCGAACCATTCAGTTAAGCAGGTGCGTTTGCGTCTGCTTTCATCGAGCAGAATTCTCATTCCATCGTCTGGCCTGAATACACCATAACATTGCAAGCTCCCAAAGTCAAGGCTTGCCATCTCTCTATGAATTTCCCTAACTGGGGTTCTTCCCAATTGTTCTCCTTCGCTGGTTCTTCACTCGATTCAGATTGGCAAAAGTGGGATCTACCTCCAGCAAACCCTTACGACTTCGATTTCCAGCTCTAAGAGCGGCAGGGCCCAAGTGGGGGTTCTCGAGAACCATTCTCTCCATCTCTCTAAGAGACTCAGGGCTTGCTTTTTCGGTGGGTGGTCTCCTGTGTTTGTGAGTTCCAAAATGTTTCACCAATACAAGACCTCCATCCGGTGGTTGTTCCTCTTGCAAGATACAAGGGTTGCCGCCAGGAAGATTCTTCTGTCTGCTAGTTGCCCGTTCTCCACCAATGCACGGAATCCACACCAAGGGACGGTCCGAGTGCAAGAGACATGTTTTTCGGTGATCCCGAGGTTTTTCCCCCAATTTGCTTTTCTCAGGATTATGTGGTCTTAAGGCAAAGTCACAGCCCTCTTCACCACATTCCATTATTCCAAGACAGTAACTCTTTCGGATCTTGGTCTGGTCCGACTTATTCCAAGTTGCAATCTGGTAAAAAGGCCAGCCAAAATATACCGTTCCAGTGCCATTCAATTGTTCTTCTGGGACCAAGTATTCACATGTTTCATTTGGCCAAATTCGGCTGTCAGAATCATCTGCAACAATGTCGTTGTCATCAGTTTTCCTCTCAGAAGACTCATCCGCACTTGAGTCTTCGATGACTCTCTTTTTTTTTGTCCCTCCGGTCCTTACAGGACGAGCGACTTCTTCTTCATCGGTATCAGAAAGTGTATTTGAAGATGATCTGGGAGAAGATTGACGACTCCTACCACCTTTGGAATCCCTCCGATTGTTACCGCTCCGGGAATCCTTCGGATTAGACTTGCCAGTTTTCTGGGCTGAGCTTTTGGACCCTCTCTGGCCACGGCTGGGAATGCCATTTGATTGATTGCTCGAAGTTGTTGGTAAAGCAGACGTTGATTCCTGATTGAAACGAATTCCAAGACTGCCTTGTGGCGGAACGAAGTCCCTATTTTGCAGGCCGATCAACCCATCATAGTACTCAACCACAGCATCTGCACGTTGGCGGGCCGCTACAGCATCTTGACGGTTTGCCTGGGCAGTTTGGAGGTTGTACTGTTGGCAGATTTGTAGCCACTGTTGATGCTGGGAATTTTGGTCATCCCTTTTGTCGTCAGAGTCGGACTTAGAGCTGTTGTCGGATGCCATTTTCGATTGGGTTGAGGGAGGAAAAATGACGTCCTCAATCAATCTGATTTTGACTCTGGAATGGAATCTGGGATGGAGTCTGGGTTCGAGTCTGGGTACGAGATGGAGTCTGGGTGCCTTGGTTCGTGCCTGTGAAGGAGCTTCAGCGCGAAAATCCAGAGCCAAGGCTGATTTTGAAAGTCCTGAAGTAGGGGGGGTTTATTTCCTGAAGTGGGATTGGGGTGGGGGGTAATTTCCTGAAGTGGGATTAAGTGGGACTGGTGGAAGACTTAGGGGTCCTGACTTCAGGACTTCAGGACTTCAGGAAATTGACCTTACTCCCATTTAATTGCTGCCATTGACTCCGACCTGGAAGCTGTCATGAGGCAGAAGACAACCAGTCAAGCTGTACCAAGCTTGGTGAGTTGCAGCTCAGTTCCCATTCGTTTGGCGTTGGCTGGCTGCAAGTGAAGAAAGTTGCTTGTAGGTTGTTGGAAGCTGAGACGGCAAAAGAGTTTTGACCAAATACCCTGGTCCCTCCCCTTGGATTTCTCCTACCAAACAATTACACTCTACACCACGAACACACCAACGAGACGTAGGGATGCTTCGAGAATACCGACAGCACGTGGTATGTTTCAAGTACACGAACCAAAGTGAACTTGATCAGCCTAATTGCCATGGCATTGACTTTAGGTGGGGAGGCGCAAAACAGGAGTGACGATACTGAGAACAAGTTCCACTGTCACGGGATTATCAGACGCCCACACCAAACAACAACAAGGCAAGTATTGAAATAGCTACCGTAGCTAGAATGGTGCAACCTTCGACGTCTTTCGCACTCATATCTCACTCCAATTCGGTTCTAGAGTCAGCAAGACACACCGGCAACAACCACCAAATCTTGCCAAGCAGAGACCCAAGAAGAAGAAGAACAGGAGGGATCTCAAATTGGTGTGAAGCCGTCTATGTCCGGCAAACACAGAGACGGGAAGCATCACTGCCACACGACGACGATTACAAGCCACAGATCTGATGATAATGTAAGCGAAAGCACAAATCTGGAAAGCAGGAGCATGGGTTCGGTGGAAAGCATGAGTTTGTTTTCGCCCCTCACACTGAAACGGCAATGGCAACAGCAAACCCAGCAATGGCAAGTAAGTCTCGTCCTACAGGAGGAAACAAAACTTCCCTTGGCACAGGAAATTATTGGAACACGACTTCAACAATCATCATCGACGCAGGGGAAAAGAGTGGTTTCTGTTGTATTTTGCCATGGGTCTGGCCATATACAGCACCAAGCCTCGTCTTTTTTGTGGTACACATACATGTACAATGTTGACTTGACTCCGTTCGAACCCAGTATCTGCAGTGGACCGCAATGTCCAGAAAACTAGGGGACGGCAATAGTCTAAATCCACTGTGCGTCCAGGCACTGTTCACTGTTAAAGCAGGGTTCTCGAAAAAGAGGTTTGGAAAGATTTCATTGGATAGATTTGATTTTCCAGAAGCAGGAGGGTTCTCGTCGGTCACACCAAACGCCGTTGCATCTCATTTTTCAGTCCCCATTTCACCCCAAATCCAACAAGAGTATTTGTTCCGCTCAACAACAAACAACAACATGGGTCCATCACCATCCCACAACGGAGATCAGGAGGAAGACGATAGACGAGACGGCCCTGCCGATCCGGAGGGTCATCGTTTTCAATATGAGTGGGAAGTTACCACAACCGATGAGTCCGATGATGATGCTATCTCAGCAGAAACTGAAACTACCATTACCCAATCGCATCACAATCATCATCATTACCAAGATGCCACTGGCAGTAGTCAAGATGGTCCCATAGAAGATGTGGTGACAAAGGCAGTGTCTGGTACGTACGGCACTCCAAAACAAGCAAAAGATAGGTGCAGAAAATATTTAAAAAGATGGGTACGGTACCTAGATCCTCACGCTTCGTTTCTGCTTCTCTGGTTGATATCCCTGGCCCACGTACCGGTACCACTATTATTGAACCTAATTGACATGGTCTTGACCGTAGGCGGGGAAGCTGCCGACGAAGACGGCCCTATAGAAGAGGTTGTGACCGTGGTGTCTGGTACGTAAGGTACTCAAAATCAAGTGATAGGTACAACAGATTATCCTCACGCTTCGTTTCTGCTGGCTATATCACGTATACCACATTGATCCTAATTGTCATGGTCTTGGTAGGTGGGGAGACTTCCAGTGAAGAGATCACTAATAGACAGCAGAAAAGGAGTGAAGATACTACTAGTAGCAGTTGGAACAAGCTTGAGATGCTGGAAGATGATCAAGAACAAGTGCCACAGACCCATCACAGAGAGGCAGATACCCGTGTCACAGCATTATCAGACGCCCAAACCAAACAACAGGGTAAGTATGGTACGTACGGTACATTAGCTAGCTAGCTAGCAAGCTAGAATGGTCCATCATTCGACGTGACACAATTATCTCTCTCACACCCATGCTATGCTTTATCCCCTGCACCAGGTTTGCATAGGCACTCTTCCTCGGTTGGGACAACACCACGGTCCTCGCCACGGTCGCATCTTGGAGCAAGAACGAGAAGGTCACTGGGAAAACGCAAGGAGGAGACTTCTCGTCACCTTACTAGTTCTATCATTTCAACTGCTACTGCTCCACTCCGCTCTCGAGTCAGCAAGACACACCGGCAACCACCGAAATCTTCACAAGCCGAGACCAAAGAAGAAGGAGAAGAAGAACAGGATGCATCTCAACATGGTGAACCGTTGGTGGGAGCCATCAATGTCCGGCATAACAGTCAGACTGGGATCGTCACTGCCACACGACGACTGCAAGTCACGGAAAGCAGGAACATTCCAGTGGAAACAAGACGTGGTATCGCGGTGGCAAACAGGAGTTTGTTCACCCCTCCAACTGAAACGGCAACAACAAGGACAAACCTGGCAATGGCAACTCTCGTCCTACAGGATGAAACAACAATACTTCCATTGGCACAGGAACTCTTCAACAATAATCATCGACGCAACAACACACGGCTGAAATACCGGTTTCTGTTGTATTTTGCAGTGGGCCTGGTTCTTTTAGTGGGGATACCACTCCTCGTCTTCTTTGTGGTACGCACGTTCACGGGCGCCAACGATGAGGAGGAGGAGTTCGACGCTACTAGTATCGAGGGCATGATGGACCTGGATGGAACGAAAGTCCCCATTGAGGAGTATATTCTCTCCTTGCTTCCCCAAGACACCATCTCGAGCATTATTATTGATAGCAGTAATGACGATGAAATGACGGCACAATCCAAAGCATTCCGGTGGGTTCTCGAAGATCCCATACTGATGACATACGAACCATGGCGGATCATTCAACGCTTTGCTCTAGCTACACTCTACTACGCCACCGAAGGGGATCAGTGGCTGGAGAACACAGACTGGTTGAGTTACACAGTCCATGAAGCCTTGTGGTACAATGTCGACTCCTTGCGATTCAAGTTTCCGCGGTTTCAACAATTTTTTGAACTCGTTTTCAACTACGATGGAGATGCATTGGAGCATCTTTGGTTATCGGGGAATCGACTCCGAGGCACTATTCCCGATGAAGTATACCTGTTGACGAGTGTCCGTACCATGGACTTGTCCATCAATCAACAATTGGGGGGGACGCTGGCTTCCCAAGTGGCCAACCTGGATCGTCTGGAAATTCTCCTCCTCTACACAACGGGTCTCACTGGAACCATTCCGACAGAGATTGGTCTAATGGAAACAACGTATTTCTGGCTTTTGCTGGGGAATTCATTGACAGGTATGCAGTCGATCATGAAGCATAGTCTTTCTGCTACTCGGGGACATTGCCTTTCTAACATTTATTTTGCCTATCGACCAAAAGGAACTCTGCCCTCAGAGGTTGGCCAACTCAGGAAGTCCTGGTTCTTTACGTGAGTGAATGATTGCAGAGAACTCTTCCGCAAAGCTTAGATTGACCTTGGTCTTTGCTAACAGTCTTTCAACCGCATCGCTTGCATCATTTCTGCTTCAGTGTTGACCACAACAAACTCACAGGTACACTGCCAACAGAGCTCGGTCTACTCACAGATATGCATTCCCTGTGGCTCTTCAGCAATCAGTTCTCTGGCAGCATCCCTTCCACGTTGGGTCAGCTGACAACGCTGCAGTCCATGGGGTTGAATGACAACAAATTGAGTGGAACCATCCCAAAAGAGCTGCAAAGCTTGTTTGGCCCACCAAAATTTTCATTGTATGTAGACACGATTGTGGAACATTATCCGGATGTGGCACTGGCCTCAGATTTCTTGTTGGCTGGTCTGAGACCTGCAACCCACCTTTTGTTGCAACGAAACCAGTTGACGGGGACTCTACCCAAGCTGCCAAGCGAGTTACATGTTTTTGGAGGGCACGAGAACCAGCTCACTGGTACTCTGTCTGCCGACTTGGCCGAAGCCACAAACCTTGTGGCGCTAACTTTGTGGGCGAATCCCTTGACAGGCACTGTCCCTTCGCAGCTTGGTTTGATTTCTGATTTACGGTATCTCTTTTTGAATCACTGTATTCTGACGGGAAGTATTGCTACCGAGATGCAACAGTTGCTAGGTTTGAGAGTGTTGTTGTTGGCCAACAACGCACTGTCAGGGACCATCCACGAGGGGTTTTCTCGCTTGTTTGCTTCAGAGACAAGACCATGCTGTGACATCGAGGCTTTACCATACGTTGGGACAGAATTGGACCTTTCCCACAATCTCATGGCAGGCCCACTCCCCACGCGGTTGGGACCCAAGCTTGTCCGTTTTGCGGTTGCATGGAACCAACTAACTGGTACCATTGCACCCCGTTTGGGCCGAAATGACTTGCTCCAGTATTTTGATGCGGGGCATAATTTGCTCTCCGGTACCCTTCCGAGCCATATTTCCAGGTGGACAACTCTGAAGGAATTCAATGTGGCTTCGAACCGTTTGACTGGTAAGTTGCGCAAAGACAAGTTTCGTTGGTATTGCATGGCAATTTCTCCTAATGCTTACTGGTTTAGGCTCGATCCCATCCGAGATTGGTGAACTTGTTTCGGAGGGATCCAATGCAACGATTTTTGACCTATCCAACAACTCGTTCACCGGAACACTTCCATCAAGCCTTTGCAGGCAGGACATGTCCAGTTTCTTGTTTAGCTGCACAGATGTGCTGTGCGGCTGTGATTGTCCGTGCTAACTACGATCTAGAAGCTGTGGTGTGCTTTGTGGTTTGGCAATCAAGTAAATGTAGGCTGGAACTGTTGTTCAGCGATCGAGATACCTGTGTGGTAGAACTCCCTATCCTGTGGTCATCCTCGGGACCATCAATTTCCCGGACCGTTGCCAGCAATCCTCTTTCCTCCGCAAGGGACCCAGCCATTGCTAGCAAGCCCTATGGAATTCCATGCAAGCCGGTGGACAATCCAAATACATTTGCATACAAGACAAGCCTTCCCTCCCTTTGGGATGGGTTAATTTCCTGAAGTCCTGAAGTGCTGCAGTGGGACTGGGCCAGACTTAAGGGTGACTTCAGCAGATTACAGATCCCACTTCAGCAACCACACCCTGACTTCGGCACTCTGTACATCACCACCAAAGGCTTCTGGAGCCCCAACTACCCCACCAAAGACTCAAAATGGGTTGCTCTGGATCGTTTCCAGGCTCTTCCCCAGCCACTTCCCCAGTCACGTCCACAGTAACTTCACCAGTCTCGTCTACAGTCGCTTCCACGGCATTGTCACCAGTCTTATCCCCAGCTTCGTCCTCAGAAGAGCTCCTACTAGAGCCCATACTCCATGCGTCCATGCACCATGATTGCAAAGATCTGCAGAGAATGGTATCAAAGTGGGTGCTGAGGTAGCTCTGTCTGTATTGCACGGGAATGCACATGCATTTGAATTCATGATGGTAGTACCGGTATGATGTTGCCATTGCTTCGGAGTCATCCTTGGGAGGGATTCTGTGCCAAGGAAATGATCAACTTCTGCGTTCGGAGTCATCCTTGGGAGGGATTCTGTGCACAAGGAAATGATCAACTTCTGCGATCTTGTGACCACATGAGGTGCAATCAAAGTGCTCACCAGGATAGGGCATTTTCCTGTAAGTCCAACCAGGCACTCCCATGCTTCTTCTCCTTGCTAACTGGCTGACCCTACTCTGTCTTTCCTTGGATTGTGCCTTGTCATCATTACCAGGTGTGGTCTCTGTAGCTGATTTCGATTGAGTTTTCTTCTTTTTGTCTGTCCTGGTGATGTCTTCTCTGTAGACTTGGGAGGTGCCTTCTTGGAAGGTGCCTTCTTGCTTTTTGTAGCACTGGATGATGTCATATTGTTGGATGCTTGGGAGACTGGTTTGGAGGGTGGTTTGGTACGTGCTTTCTTCTTCTTTTCCTTGCCTGCACTTTTCCATTTTTTCTCCAATTCCTGTGACAATTCCCTCAGCTGATCCTTTTGGATTTTGCTGTCCCTCTTTGTCTTTGCCTTGTGTGACTGCCATCATTGTTGCTATCATTGTTGCTCTGACGGTTGGTTCTTGGTCTAGTTCTTTGAGCCGCCATGATCTCTGCTGGGGTATCGTTTCCTCCATCAACATACAAGTGGTCCAGAAAACTGAATTTGTCTGGATCCTGGGAGCAGTGCGTCCTGTCCAGTACTTCATACAGAAGAGTATCAACTGCATAGAATCGACCAGACCGATCTCTTTGACCTTTGGCAGCTCTCTCACAGTACATGTACCTATGCTTCTTGCCAACACCCATTCCGTCATAGAAAAGGTACCCATCGGGAGTCACCACAAATGATCTGAAGTGATAGCGGTTGCACAAGAGCACCCCAGACTGGAGTACAAACCTTTTTGTCGCGGTAGCAGAATTCAGTTGGCCACTGGTCAATGAATTTTCTTCTATCGTTGATAGTACCTGATGGGTAGTACATGATCATGGTATGGGGCCATTGGGAGATCTCTGCCGATTCCATTTCACATTTGCCATTGCACTGCCTGTGAGAAATGTTATACTCATGGTCGTCCTCGAACCATTCAGTTAAGCAGGTGCGTTTGCGTCTGCTTTCATCGAGCAGAATTCTCATTCCATCGTCAGGCCTGAATACACCATAACTTTGCAAGCTCCCAAAGTCAAGGCTTGCCATCTCTCTATGAATCTCCCTAACTGGGGTTCTTCCCAATTTCTCTCCCTCGCAACCGCCTATTGCCTTACAGACCCAGTCTTGCCTGAACTTCAAATTGAAACTATCATGCAGTGGGTGGCGTCCTCTCAGCAACGTTGACTGATTGTGACAACGTTCCGGTCTCGAGCCTCTCTTGACTCCCGGCAAACCTCTCAGACCAGAAAGTTTCACTACTGTCGAACATGTCCATCTGAGTGTCATCCACGTGACTAGGGGTGATATCCAAGCAGTACAACTCCTCGACTGACAGTCTTCTGGCACTTTCATTTTTGTTTTCATCCGTCGGCTTGAAAATTCTTGAAAGAAGACTTCCTGGGTCACTGAGCTCTGGGTACGGGCTTGACAGATAACCAAGCTTGTAAGGGACGTACATGCTTTCGAGGAAGGCATCAATTGGACATGAATTGTGGATGTATCCTGCGATGCCCCAAAGACAGCCAAGTCGCAGACCATAACATTCAAGAACTCTTGCAAGTTCCTGTCTCTGTTGTTGCTCCAAGAGACTGATTGTGCTTCTGCTTCCCTAGCGTTTTTTTTGCTTTGGGCTTTGGGAGTTCTTTTCCGCTTGGCTTCCTTTGATCCAAAAATGGAAGCATTGGTGTCTTCACCTCTGCCATCAAACTGTTGACAGGCCGGGAAAAACTGGGCTGCCCGCTTAGGGCTGATGTGCCACTGCAGCCACTTATTGCTGTTTGGAAACTTGTTCTGAATCGACCTAACTGTGCTTTTGAAAGCAAAAAAGGGAAGGTCCTCCTCTTGTAACTTTCGAATCAGTCGGTAGAAATCCCTTTTGTCATCTGGAGGAACAATGGCACCATTTCTGGCAAGTCTGGCTAGGGATCGTTTGAAGTGAACTCTCCATCCGGTGGTTGTTCCTCTTGCACGATACAAGGGTTGCCGCCAGGAAGATTCTTCTGTCTGCTAGTTGCCCGTTCTCCACCAATGCACGGAATCCACACCAAGGGACGGTCCGAGTGCAAGAGACATGTTTTTCGGTCTGCTAGTTGCCCCTTCTCCACCAATGCACGGAATCCACACCAAGGGACGGTCCGAGTGCAAGAGACATGTTTTTCGGTGATCCCGAGGTTTTTCCCCCAATTTGCTTTTCTCTGGATTATGTGGTCTTAAGGCAAAGTCACAGCCCTCTTCACCACATTCCATTATTCCATGACAGTAACTCTTTCGGATCTTGGTCTGGTCCGACTTATTCCAAGTTGCAATCTGGTAAAAAGGCCAGCCAAAATATACCGTTCCAGTGCCATTCAATTGTTCTTTGGGACCAAGTATTCACATGTTTCATTGGGCCAAATTCGGCTGCCGGAATCATCTGCAACAATGTCGTTGTCATCAGTTTTCCTCTCAGAAGACTCATCCGCACTTGAGTCTTCGATGACTCTCTTTTTTTTTGTCACTCCGGTCCTTACAGGACGAGCGACTTCTTCTTCAGTATCCATATCAGAAAGTGCATTTGAAGATGATTTGGGAGAAGATTGACGACTCCTACCACCTTTGGAATCCCTCCCATTGTTACCGCTCCGGGAATCCTTCGGATTAGACTTGCCAGTTTTCTGGGCTGAGCTTTTGGACCTCTCTCTGGCCACGGCTGGGAATGCCATTCGATTGTTGCTCGAAGTTGTTGGTAAAGCAGACGTTGATTCCTGATTGAAACGAATTCCAAGGCTGCCTTGTGGTGGAACGAAGCCCCTATTTTGCAGGCCGATCAACCCATCATTGTACTGTTGGCAGATCTGTAGCCACTGTTGATGCTGGGAAATTTTTGGTCATCCCTTTTGTCGTCAGATTCGGACTCAGAGCTGTTGTCGGATGCCATTTTCGAATGGGTTGAGGGAGGAAAAATGACGTCCACGATCAATCTGATTTTGACTCTGGAATGGAGTCTGGGTTCGAGTCTGGGTACGAGATGGAGTCTGGGTGCCTTGGTTCGTGCCTGTGGAGGAGCTTCAGCGCGAAATCCAGAGCCAAGGCTGATTTTGAAAGTCCTGAAGTCGGGGGGATAATTTCCTCAAGTGGGATTGGGGTGGGGGTTAATTTCCTGAAGTGGGATTAAGTGGGACTGGTGGAAGACTTAGGGGTCCTGACTTCAGGACTTCAGGAAATTGACCTTACTCCCTTTTCGCCAAGCGCAGCACCAACAAATCTTCCTTTTTCGCCAAGCACAACAACAACACCAGGGGACCCGCTCCTGTTGATGCAGAACAAGCCAGCCTGCCTCAATTCCAAGAGCAAGCCCCATCGCAGTCGAATATCACTAGTCGGCCAGCCGTTGCTTCCTTGCCCAAGCAAAGCAACAACACCATGGAACCCACCAGCCGCCCTGTTGGGATAGATTCAAGCAAGCCTGCTTTGAGACCAAGAGCTACAGACTCAACTTGAATCAAACAGGTATGGTCCATGAGTCTTCGCATGAATGCATGTCATTAGGACGTGTGTGCTCTTCGGAGTCAACATTACCGTCGTTGGAAATGGGGGGGGGGCACTTTCAGAGGACTGTCCTTCTCCACGAGTGCATCATAATTTGCTCTTTGCTCTCTGCTCAAGTTTGCTTTCCATTCTGCGTTTCTAAGTGCTTCCGTGGATCCAACCGTAGCTCAATCTTCCAATCCCGCACTTTGCCAAAGCTTGCACGTGCTGCCCTCTTCAAGAGTGTTGCTGGGGCTACTCCCGACCTGTTGGCAGCTTCAACGTTACGTCGCCAGGTACCCGTACCCGCCACCGAGAACCCTACAGAAGAAAGTGGTTTGGATGATATGGCAGTGACCCCACCAGCCCCAATGCATTTGACGGAGCAACGAGACCAGCTTCCAGAGATCCAACCCCAGGCCGATTGAAGGCAAGACTTGTGAGACGCGTCAGGCACTCGTAACACAATTCCAAGAGCAGCCTGCCAGTAGTCCTCTTAGACGCTCGACACCTTGGATTCTTCAGCATCGGCCGCTCTTGGAACACGTGGCAACTCTACCAAGGCATATTCACCCCAGGGAGCTCCAGTCGGATTTCCTGGGTGTCTTGGAGCCACTTGAGCTCTGTCCCAGGAGGCCAAGTGCAAGTTTCACCATGTCACTACCACAACCATGATGAATTTCATCATGAAGAATTGGGTTGACTCCTCCAAGGTTCACTGGTTGGAGAAGACTTCAGCCCATGCTACCAAAGGAACCAAGCAACTGGGGAAGTATGTTGGCTCTTTATCAAGTGAGCGTGGACCTTGAAGCAATTGTGTGACAACCGATTGGCTCCCTTGGAGAAGATTTAGGTCATTGGCAAGGTCAAACTGAAGCCAACACCTTTGGCTAAGGAGTGAGGGGGGTTAAGCAAGAGGTGGAGCAGTGGCTGTAGGTACTGGTATGAAGCTGATTCCGTGTCATGTTTGCAAAGTCAGGGGACAACTCACTTCCCTACATGTGCTAGTTAGCAAAGCTATAACCTTCTATTATGTTTATTATTATTATTGTAGCCAGCCAGCTAAATCGCTGGAAGGTCAGTGGGAAAAGCTAAGTGTTGTTGTTCTGAAAGCATGTGCCCTGGATGGGGGACCCAAGGGACCACCTTTCTTGGATGTTGGTTGGCACCTACTAGCATCAGACCAAGGAAAGAACAGATTGATGCAATCCTCCAGCTTGCGACACCGAAAGATGTTTCAAGACTTTGTCGCTTCCTTGGATCTGTTGCCTTTTACAGAGACATATTCCCTCAGTGTCGTCCTTTCCTAGCTCATTGTACAAACTTGCAACAAAAACAAAGCCTTTTGTCTGGACTACTGAATGTGAGCATGCCTTTGATGCCATCAAGGGCATCTTTTCTCAGGAGTTATTTCATGTCCACCGCAACGGCCAGTTGCTTGTCTTCCAGGGAGATGCTAGCAAGACACGCAAAGTTGGTTATGTCATTGTTGTGCCGAAAGACAAGAAATATCGCAGAAAATTTCTCCCTCCAAGAGTGTGTCAGTGTCGGCCTCTTCTCCTAGACACTCCCGAGCCACCAAGACAGGAGACCAACTACAAGCTGATCAATCCCACTGATGGTTATTGGAGGAACAAGTTGAACCCTCCTATTGCCAATCAGGAGGTGAAGAGGAGCCTTATCACCACTTTTGATCCATCGTTCAAGAGTGTCTTGCGTTCGATCCCTGAGGAGCCTGCATTGGTTCCCCAGCCCATGGTCATTGACGAGCTCCCTGATGGACTTGCTGGTACATGTATTGACAGTGCCAACTTGCCCAATGAACGTGTGTATCAGATGCTGGCCCATGGTGGCACCCTAGCCCACATCATCCTACACCCCAGCAGTTTCTACAAGAAGAAGGAGCTGAAGGCCGTCGTTTCGGACGAAACTTCTGCGGCCTCATAGGCGGACGGTGTATGGTGCTCGTGGTATGGTAGTCTTCGACTTCTGGTGTCAGATGCAGGGAAGTTCATTGGATTGGCTTGACCACTTGCATCGCATCTTCTGCGAACGTTCTATGTTCACCTCTGATGGATATCCTCTGCTTGCTACAGATAAGGGTGCATTTTGGGCAATCACACCAAACGCCAGACCGTGTGTCTTCAGGAGGGATTGATCTGAAAGCAAGTTTCCCTTGTCTTTTCGTCCTATTGCTCTTTCCATAATAAGGTGTGCGGTGTAGTAGGAGACATTACGAATGAGTCAAAGTACTGTATTCTAAGAGATTACCCAATTCGTGTATTGTTCATTGTCCATTGTCCATTGAATGCCTGCATTAAAAAGTACCAATGCGCTAGGCTGGCAGAGTCAATGACGTTTTAACTTTGATTGTCTCAAGCCATCGCGCTCGAGCTAGAAATCAAGGCTGGAAGGTGAGTCATTCCAATCCACACGCATTGGCTGGCCCCAAGTGGAAGCATAAGTAGCCAACCAGACTGCCAATCCATGCGTGAACGAGGCCAGCTATAGTCCATGGCCAAAGAGAGAGTAGCCTCATGAATGTAGTGAGAAAGGAGAGTTTGGGTAGTTTTTGCCATTGGAGTGAGCCACTACTTCATGGACAAGATGGGCGAGTCAGTGAGGAAGTCAAACCAGAGTAAGATGAAGCAGCCAGTGCATGCCCTTGGATAGAGAAACGATGCATGGGCCCTTGCCACTTTAAAGTCGAGAGGCTTCGAAGCGACTTGGTTGAGGCTCTACGGGCTGATCCACCCAATCATCACTCCCTCTTGTCGACATTTCAATCGACAACCTGAACGGAGCTCGAAACCTTCAGCATCACGCGCAATCAGGCTTACTAGAATGTCAGTTTTGGCCTGCAACCTATCAGATCCAGCAATGCCTCTCCTCTCTCATCGGAAGTCTAGGTCCAGTCTGAATTATGTGTGGGCAATAGAGCATCCGTAGAGGAGGCACGCTCCTGCGGGCTGCTGGCTGACCGTGGTACAACTAACTCTTGTCATGGACATTTGCCCTTCACGTGCATGCGAGATCAAGGAACTCACGTTTGCCTGTCAGCTCGGATCATGCATCCGGAGCGTGCTCGACGATCGAGGAGACTTTGGATGCATTCCATGATAGTTGTCACATGTGGTTGGCTGGTTGCAGCCAGAGAAGGCCATACACGCAATCAATCGAATCACTTAGCAAGCTACACCGTAGCGACCAAACAAGGACCACCCTCCGCACCAGAAGGCAGTGCCCCCTGTATCCTCGTTGTCCCGTTGAGGTAGTGCTGTGCCTGGCAAATCTTGTGATGTTCGAGTGTGTATTGGTTGCCGTCTTGTTGTTGTTGTTGGAAATAGGGCATGGCACGTTGGGCATTCTTCCGGACGGCATTCAACATGCCCCACAACTCGTCCAGCCGGGTAAATCGTTCGCGGACCCCTTGCAGCTGTTCTTGCTTGTTGTTGGCGGTATGGTACAAAATGTGACGAGAAAACGCTGTCGGATCCAAGTTGATGATGCGTTGCAACTTGCACCCGAGCCCAATCAACTGGATCCCACCCGACCAGTATTCGACATCTCGCAAATCCAACCCATCCATGGTCCCGTACGTGGTGACATCCGAAAAGGGTGGTAAGAATCCTCCTTGACACGCTTCCAGATGCCATTCGACGAGTTGTTGTCGTGTTGCCATGTATCCGCCCTGATTATTGACGTATTTGCGTTCGAGTGTTTGAGGTCTCCAATAGACGGTATCATTTTGGTAGTATCCATCATTTCCACTCCAATAGTCAGGCAATGCACCCGGTGTCCCTCGTTGGAGCATTACCCAATCCAACGTGTAGTTAGTGTTGGATGGCAGTGGTGGCATTTGACGCACCCCCAGGGGAAGGATTTGTGTTTCCCACGCGATGAGTTGGTGGCTCGTGGGAGCGGCTGGTAGACGTGCACTGCTGGTTTCATTGGAGACGTGACAGCAGGGAGCCGCATCGATTGTGATGTTGGTGGTTGTATGATTGTTGTCGTCATATTCCATATCTACCGGTACCGACACGGCCAGGGGTGGAATGGGTGTCAGCGTCTCATTGAGAACCGCTTCGACCCGCATAAATCCCGGAATGATGCGTCGCAGTTGATTTTGTGTCAAACTATTTTTTCCAAAGTAGAGATGCTGTTGCATGTCAGGATTATTGTTGTGTTTGGTTGGAGCCTGTTTCCGTAATTGCTCGAGATGCTGCACCATTTGTTGATAATTGAAAATGTGCGACCCCTTGATGAGCATGTCATCTTCAAATGAGACAAACATGTCGTAGTAGGGCAACTTGTCTTTGAGTACAAATCGATGTTGTCGTGCCAATCCACGGGCATGCGGTTCCAGCTTGGCGTTTGGATTGATGACAATGTTGTTGCGTTTCTTATTATTATTATTCAAAAAGTCCTTCATGTTGTAATTGTACGGAAGGGCGTCATCCCAGATTTCCAATCCCACCTGACGGGGCAATGCGTCTTTCAATTGAAAACGTCGTTGCGGAGTCATGATGAATCCACTAATGAGATACACATCCACGTGATATCCAGCTGCGATCATGCTGGAAACACTTTCGGAGACAATGGGAATGAGTGTCTCGTTGAACCGATCCGATCCTCGTTTGGTATGGCGCTTGCCGCTGTTGTACTCGGAGAGGGTTGTGACGGTATACAGAACACGAGTAGCTTTGTCTTCTTCTGCTTCTGCTTCTTCTTCTTTTGCAGTGTGAGTAGCTGCATCCGGTATTTCTTTGGTAGTAGAGTTGTTGGAGGGTATCAGGGACGCTCGATTAGGATGATGATAACGATTTCGTTTCCGTCCACGTTTTCCTGGATGTCCCACCATGTGGACACTACTACTCGTAGTAGTAGTAGTAGTAGTAGTAGTAGTAGTAGTAGTGTGTGGATGCCATCTATGATGACGATGATAATCTTGTTGTTTCATTTGAAGAAGAGTTCGACTCTTGTGGACTTCTAATAAAAGACCGTAGTCAGCAGGGTTGTTGTCAAAGGAGAATCGAAAGACGCTGTGACTAGCCAGAACTAAAAAGATACCCACAAAACTCAAGTTACGCAGACTCTGCTGTCGCCACCACGGAGACGTCGTTGTCATGGTCGTGTTCCTGGGTTAACGTATTTAGTATCGATCGATCAAGCAAGAGCTTGTCATATAACAAGTCACAACAGTACAACATCACAAGCAGAGGGAAAAGATACCGAGCACCACCCTTTCCATGGTTTTGAGCCGTTTTGTGAGCAAACGTTTAGTTTTTTCCCTTGGACCGGCAGGCTCTAACCATTTAAGCCATTCAGTCCTTGATTCTTTCCTGACTTAGACAATTCGAGCTTAGAAGAATATCCCTTGATGAAATAGTGTCCCCTTGATGAAATTCTGACTTAATGGCTGTCGAGCAAGGCCTTCCATATTTCTGGCTCTTGTTGGTTTCGCCCTCCGATCATGCCAGAGTCACTCAGTCAGGTTGAAGGATTGATTCTATTCTATTAGTTTTCAGGCTCGTTCCCAAGCTTGCGGGAGGCAAGCTAAAAAGCGAGTTCTCACAAGCATGGTGTTGGTGGCAACTAAATTAGGGGATTTGTCTATGTTGCATCACTGGAGAACTACAATCCCTGCAAGGGTTTAACCAGTTCTGGAGGTCCGTGGTACAACAGTTTGCTTGCTTGAAGGGCGAGTGTGAGGTTGAAAACGGCGACGTATTTTAAGTCCAAGCGGTGTGAGACAACAGCTATAGAGGTTCAAGATTGAATGGGCTACGGAGGTCAACAAATAAATAATATGAAGAACAACAAGAGACGACAAAAAAACTTCTATAAAGGCCTGTTCTATTCTCTTTTACATCCCTTGAAGTGGTTGCAGTTTTTCCGCCAACAGCTTCAGCTTGTCGACTTCTTCGTCACTGAACCGGAAGTTGTCCTTGGCTTCAATCATGCGATGCAGATTCTCACAAACTTCTCCCTTGAATCCAGGGATGCTGAAGAATGACAACCGGTTCTGCTTGAGCCACTTGTGTCCCACCAACGGATCCTTATCCAAAATGGAAAGAAACACTGCCAGAGTCTTGATCGGTTCCATGTGGTGCTTTGCCATTTCCAGTTTGTCTTCCGGAAAGATTGAAATACCGTAACTGCCAAGGATGGCATTGAGTACGTCCGTGTCATCGGAGGATTGTGCACCATCCTTGTTCTCCATCAGAAGTCTACGGGCAAAATCCATATCCAAAGTGCCGTTCTGTAGCCGACTCTCGAGAGACGCAATCGAACTCATGGAGATTGGTACAGGCGGGGCGTACAAGAAGAGCAAATTGATTGTGTTTTCGGATGGGAAAACATCTCGAATGTGATTGTCGTTGAAGGGCCCTGGGCTGGTACAATGCACAAATGTATAGTTGTCGCCAAAGATCATTGGCTCCTCTGACTCGGTAAAGGAGACCTTGCAGGATCCGTTTGGTAGTTTCTCAATCGCTGTGACGCGCCCACGACGAATCATGTCCTTGACCTTTTGTGCAATCTCCAATTCTTCGTCACCAATCACAGGGAAACGAAACCGTGTTGGCTTGACGGCGTGGGTAAGACGGGCAAAGACCTCTTGTTCTTCGAGCATCATACCAGCCTTGTCTGGGTCTCCATTGCATTTCAACAGAGCATCTCCCCAAGACCACGGAGATCCCGGTCCCGATCGTCGGAGCATCCAAATGTCGTTGGGTGCCACCCATGCAATATTCCTGGCAGATACCTTCATCTTTTGCTGCAGAAACACTACCGTGTCCAATGCAGTCTTGCCACATCCAAGGACGACATAGCGCTTATCACTGTCCACCTTGTTTTTGTGTTTCCTGCCAGAGCGATTCTTTTTGTTAGCCAAGTGATCATCAAAGATTTGGTTGGGTGTCACGATAGGGACGCCTTTATCGACATGAAACTGAGGTGGAGTCTGACTGGGCACTCGGCATTCGCCCAGAACGCCGTTGACTAGTTTCTTGCGCACCTCAATGGAACGAGTCGTTTTGGTAGCATTTTCCACAAAGGAATGGATGTTTCCCTCGGTTTGATCAAACTGGTATGTGCAGTGTGGGTAGTATTTGACACGTCCAGAAGCTACCCATTGGTCCATGAGCAGCTTGTAGTGAGCTAGAATTTCTTCCTTGGAGGCTCGATGTTGCCAGGGCAAGACGCCACGTAGGCAAAGCTTCAGCCAGGTGCCTTCCATTTGTTTGCTGGCGACTCCATACAGTAGAGTTGGTTGGTGGAGACGAACAAAGCCATATGCATCGTTCCAGTGCCCGCCAGGAGCATTGTGCTTGTCGACAATGGACACCGTCGCATTTGGCTGTTCCGCCAAGATAGTATCCACAAAGGCCATGGAAGCAGCTCCGGCTCCAACGACCAAGTAGTCCGTGATGAGTTTTGTTGGATTCATTCTTTTAGAGTGTAGGGGATTTTGTTGGTTTTGTATTTTGTATAGTTTTCTTGTTGATTTGTGAGCAAAGCGTGGTGAGAATGGATCTTCGACGAATGGATCCTTTTGCTCAGGACTTTGGTATTGTACCAGTACCAGTACCAGTACCATAGCTGTTCCTTGTTGTTCTGCAAACTATAGGATTTAATAAATTAAGTCTTACTGTTCCTCAAGAAGCCACGGGATCAGCAGGGATTGTTGTGGATGATGTTCACGAATCACAGGAGATAGATGTCATTGAAGCGGGACACAAAACGTCCACAACCGAGCTTTTTGGGAGCTGAAGCAGGCACGAACCAGCAATGCCGGAGCTCGCAATACCGGTAGGCTGGTTTCGAGTGGTCAACCACTGTTGTTGCCAGTGTCAAAACAAGATGTCCCTCCAGTGCAAAAACCCAGAGTGTTGAAAGAAGGTGAATGAAAACATAAGCAAAACCATATGCACTTCGAACCCATCTGGACTCACTCAGTGCTAGCAGGCTAGCTAGCTAGTAGGGTAGTTGAGATTGTGTCCACTGGTGTCAGTGCCAGATTGCAGTTCTAGCTATAGCAATGCTATTGGGCTTGGAGTTGAGTTGAGTTGAGTTGGGTGGCTGTGTTGGGGATTCGGGATTAGGGATTCAGCCCCTTTACCTCAGTACGGTACTAGAATTTCCCAGTAGAAAAACTGAGCACATCCACTTTTTCAGTAGTATCTCAATAGCAAGACAATGGTAAACTAGAGAGCTTAGTGAATCTAACATACTACTGAAAAAGTACTGCTATCGATATTGCAGTGGTCGGTGTATCGAAGAGAAGAGGAGTCTGTCCCGATCGAGACTGCCGAAGCATCGAGGCATTCGGCAGCACGAAGAAAGACCGTCGACGACATCGCGAGGATCAGTCGACGACGACGCGAAGCACATCTACGGATCGACGACGACGCAACCGTCGTGCCGAAGATCGATACAAGACCGAAGACCAGTAGACTGTCGAAGCATCGACAGCAACAGCAAGAGGAGTCCTTCAGGACTGAAGGCAGAGGATCCGAGGACGGATCCGAAATCCAAGCCGAGAAGAGTTTCGTCGGCAGGAAGAGTTTCGTCGGTAGAATCCACAAGGATTACTGACAGGAGAAGAGCCAACAGCATCCAGTCGGAACTGTCACGGCCAAACCAACAATCACTGTTGAGCGCATACGCCATAGTGCCAGCGCAGGGACCACGGACGGGTACCCAACCAAGGGATCAATCAACAAGGAAACGGGTTTGGAAAGGCTGACGACCGCACCCAGTGTGAAGCAATCGCGCCTGCCCTTGCAAGATCCTTAGTTATAGATCTAATACTCTCTAGCCAAGAGTATAATTTGAAGTTTATCGCCCCATAGCCGAAAGACGAATAAGTAGTTAGACGAGACCTTAAAATAAAGAGCTAGTCTACAAAAATAAAAAGAAACAATACAATAGTCCACCTACCATAGCATAGAAGATGAGTGGTAGAGGTAGAGGAAGAAGTGGCCGAGGCGGCAGAGGACGAGGAGGGCGAGGAAGATCCACCCCATCCTCGACGAGAAGGCAAACAGGTTCATGCAAAGCCCTCGACCACCATGTGTTCGACTTCGGTACATCTGGATCCGGAACAGCAGACCAGATAATACGAACATGGGAGAAGATCACCGTCTACGTTGGACAACAGATAGGTGATGACATCGGGAATGAGCTCCGGAACCTGACACAAACAGTGTTGAAACCACCAGAATACTCAGAGGAGACCCGGAACAGGCTTGAAACGGCGAAGGTACGACGTGCTGCGAACAACCGTCGTCTCCTAACGGCAACCCAAGCAAGCCTACAGCTACTGGAAGCAGAGATAGCCGCAGTCACCAATGATCCGACTCTCGGTAGCTTACACACACTAACGATAGAAAAAGCACAACTCATTAATGAAATAGCCGACCTTACGGCAGCCATAGCCGACCCACCGGAAGAGGAACTCCGGGGACCCGAGAAAACACTGTATGGAGGACTCATGAAGACCTACCATACTAGGTTGGCAAAACTTCAAGAGAAGAGGGGCAAAGCATTCAACTTGATCCTCGGGCAGTGCACCCGATTATTGAAGGACAAGATGATGCAGAACACTGAATACGAGGCCGTTCTGCTAAAATGCGACCCACTGGAGCTACGAAAAATGATCCATAAGACGATCATGGCCCAGACAGACGATAACTACGTGTACCACACCATCTACCAACAGGAAAAGGCATTGATGAATTTCCACCAAGGGAGCCTTACGGCTTATGAATACCACAAGCAATTTACCACCAAAAGGGACATTGCAAAATCCGTGGGTATTTCCAAGATACACGATGCAGCGTTGCTGGATACGGCTAGACTACTTCTCAACAAAGATTACGCCGACCTCACAAGTGAGGAACAACAGAAAGTCATGGATTACGCTGAAGAAAGGTACTATAGCTACATCTTCTTAACAAATAGTTCACCCGAGAACAACAAACTTAAACAGAACCTGAGGGATGACTTTGCCAAAGGCACAGACAACTATCCCCATACTATTCATGGCGTATTACACCTCTTGGACAAACACACCAAGAGTAACACCCCACGACAGTCCACTTCCCACAGAAGCTCCTTTGCTCAGACAGGACAAGGTGGGAGAGGACGGGGTGGTGGCAGAGGAAGAGGCCGCGGAAACACAGCCTTCGACAGCGAGTACTGGAAAGACAAGGAATGCTATAACTGCCACAGGACAGGGCACTCAGTAGGAGGGTCACGGCAGGACAAGAAGGTCCGTTCATCGAAGAAGGACTAAGCAGAGTAAGTAAGTAAGCATGGTTGACAACTAGGACAAGCTCGACGACCACAGGAGTGTGTTGGGGATTCGCGATTAGGGATTCAGCCCCTTTACCTCAGTACTAGAATTTCCCAGTAGAAAAACTGAGCACATCCACTTTTTTCAGTAGTATCTCAATAGCAAGACAATGGTAAACTAGAGAGCTTAGTGAGTCTAACAGGCTGAGCTGGGACTGTGATGGATGAGGAGGGGGTACCAGTACTGTTAGCCATGCATGGCTACACCACAGCCCTGGAAACAGGATAGTTGGACATTCCTACCATCCCTTTTCCTTACCCCTCCTACCCCCTTCAAACTTCTTTACCAACCCCAACTCTCTTCAACAAAGAGCTTGTGATTTGTTGTAAATCATGGCTCCGACCTCAGTGTACAAATCCTTAGATAGCTAACAGGCGTCGCACCCTCTCAGGGGGCCAGTGTGGCCGGTGAGCAGACTTGACTGTGGGAAATCCCCGGGCCTCGGCTCGTGGGTCGTCCTCAAGCACATCTCGTCTGAATCCGTTATTAGATGTTCAGTTTTTTTTGTTTTGTTAGCCATGCATGGTGTGGGCCCTGCAATTGGCCTTGGTTCTAGTGTAGTAGTGGGTTGTGGGGTGGGACTTTTGGGTTGGCATTGTGATGGACTAGAGGTGGTGGGCCCTGGAGTATCTAGCTAGAGGTTTGCCCCTGAAATAAAGGCCAGTGATGGACGAGGGGTTGGGACTGTGATGGACCCAAAGGGAGAGCCAGCCTCTGGGAACAGGATGATGTGTGAACTCTGACCAGATGAGGGCTAAGTTGCTGGTCTGGCTGGATAATGACCTTGGGAATAGGTTGATGTGTGAACTCTGATTAAACAGAGGATGCCAGAGGTGATGGTGACCTTGGTTTGTTTGTAGCCTTAACCATAATTCCCATTCTGGTTCCAGCTGGGGCTGTTTCAGGTTTGGAATATAATGATGGCACAGGAAAGGAGTTGAGAGTGTCACTTGGGTAACTGAACTGCTCCAGATCCAATGAGACTGGTGGGATCTCATATCTCTAACCCTAGTGGCTTTACAACCAAGGCTACATCAGGAGGGGCTCTCTCCTTGTCTCCTCAACAACAACATCTTCAACACCTTACAAACAAGAGGAACAACCTTCAAACCAAAGGCTGCATGGTACAAAATTATGCCTCCCAAGAAAAACTTAATTTGGGAATGATTCTGTAGATCCCACTATAATTTCTACTTTTCAAAATGTTTAACCACTGAGTTGTGTTGGACCAATATTTTGACAGACCAACCCTGCAGAAAACATGGGTTGGGGAGATCTAGATATATGGGGCTGGATGGATACATGGGGGTGGAGGACATGCATATTGCAAATGGGCCACTGGAGGGGGAGAGGAGAGGGAGGAGGTCTAAATAGAGGGTGGAGCAGAAAAGGAGTCTGCAAGTGGAGGAGGCAGAGGTGCAGGAGGAGCTGGGGAGCCAGAGCTGGAGCTGATGGATGGAGATGGAGGAACTTGAAGGTACTGTGATGGACAGTGGAATGGTTCTAGTACTTAGGTGGCAAGTGAACAGGAGGCTCATCAGGGGATACATTGCTGTGCTGGGGCATAGAGAGCTATAGGAGATCTATGATTGCCATCATCTTCATGCAACTTCTTTCCATGAGTATGGCATCCACAAAGGGGCAAAGACATCAGAGAGAACATCACAAAGTGGGCTGACTAGGGTGGAGTGTAGGTGGGCAGGTGAGAGGCTCTGTCGTGTGGTTGTCTGGTCCACACTCGGGTGGAGGTAGTGCGCCAGAATTGCCTTGCGGAGTGCATGAACTACTGGCGGCGTGATGTGACAACTTCATGGGGTTAAGAACCTACATGGGCATGAGAGTACGATTTACCCGTACGATTGCAGACGCAAACGAAGGACACGATGAGAGTTGCTGAAAATATTGGTGCTGTGCGGGGCAAGTTCGTATACTATTGCCAGACATTTTTGATTTGCGTAATATTGAAAAGGAGCCAATGGCGCAACTGTCACAATTTCTCCCCTTCGAGGACCTTAGCCGCTCAAAAGCTTAGGTGTACATGCAACTCGGGAAGGACGACAACAACGAGCACTAGCAAAGCGTACCGTACTCAGCAGCGTCACAGAGCAAACCCTTTTGTTCTCCCAGATTGGTGGCTCCGCAACTGGCTCTCCGGCTGAAGGGGGCTTCTCACCTGGCGAGGTCTTCTGCGTTCGTACACTTTGAACGATTCGATTCCAGCACTTCCATCCACGCGGCTCCAGCTATCGACTGCTACCTCGATGACGACATGGTTGCCGATCGATGACTTTCGTAAAACCTCCTCACTCTGTGCGAAAAAGCCTGGAAAGTCGCTCCTGAATCGAATCTCCTCGAATACAAGGCCGCTTGAGCTTGGTCTTATTGTTGGTATTACACCAAAGACCAGAGTCAGCTAGCTCCAGACTCTTTTTCTGGTGTTGTTGTCTTTTTTGCTGATACATGTACATGCACTACCCGCAGCATATCATGGGAGCCTTGGCCGGCATTCGCCCGATTTCTATCTTTTTTTTGTGTGCTTGGTTTTGCCTTCATTTCATGGTCAGCAGAGATAAGCAACTCCCCAATGGATGTTCGATCAATACCGTGGTGCTTTCTAGCAGCCAACCGCAGACCACAACGTACTGTACCTACGGTAGGGAGTTCCAAACAGATTGACCATATCCTTGGATTCTGAACACTTTTGCTGGTGTGGTTTGACCAAAGTCCACTACTGTATGTGAGGGGCCAGCAAAGGACGAGCCACCCAAAAGAGATGGAAATCAGAGGAAAGCAGAGGCCAATGATCGATACCGTAGAGTACATCAGTCTAGTTAGACTAGACTACGATAGCTAAAGTGGAGTGCTGTCTTCTTTGTTTGGGGCAGCAACAAACTCCTGAGCCATGGAGGCCGGCGAGGGCACGGCGATCGAGAATTGAGATGCCATGGGATGCGCAGACGACGATGACTTGAAGTTCCCCAATCCGAGTCATGTTCCAACGGGTTCATTTATGACCTGACTTTCTTCTGCTCACTTTTTCAATCAGTTTTTAAAATGGTCAATCGAAGCTGCATGTTGCTGCCAAAGTGGCAACAATGCCTTTGGAGCAGTACGTCGTACATCGTATCACAATACAACACTAATAGAAACATACGATGAAGAATTCCAAGAATTCCAACCGAGACTACGAGTTCTACGAGTATCTAAGAATAAGGACACCTTTACGTTTTCCGGTAAGATCTGGTTTGAGCGCCAAGAAATCCTTCCACAGCTTTGATACACGAGGAAACATCTTCCCCGCCTTTAGAAGAACCGGCGTTGCTCAAGTCCAGACCACTATTTTCTGCAAGAAATCCATCAACCTGCACATCAAAATGTGGGCTACGCAGGAAATAATTGATGGGGGGCGTAGGAGTTCTATAGGAACCTGTTCGAGGGCCAACCACCGCCGTGGGTTTTGAAAACAGCCCGAAAACAGCTGCTAACGGGTGCACTGAAGAGACGTAACTTATAGAAATGATTGTGTGTGTGCTTTATATTTATTAGATCATATGAAATTTGTAATGATACTTCTTTGGTTTGATTTGGTGGTTTGAGATACACATAGATATTTACTCCGTCGCAATAATGACTCCCTCGCAATTACTCGATGACCCCTTGCATGCGGTTGCGTGCTTCATAGGAGTCGGTGCCCATGAGCTGATCAATACGGTTGGGTCCCATGTTGAGGTGGTGAGTAGGAGAAACGTGATGCTTGATGTGGTTCTCCTTGCATTCCTTTAGGTATCCCGTCACAGGAACGTGCGAGTGGCAAACAGCATGCAGAAAGGAATAGACCAAGGCACTGGCTTGATACGTTGCAAAGCAGGTTGTCACAATGGCAGCAGGGGCGCCAAGAGCCACAGCACCGAATGAAATGCCCAGAACAACGTGAAACCAAACCGCGCTAATTCGCAGGGACTCGACAGAAAGATGGTAGTAGGGAAGGTCATGGTGACGATCGTGGCTCTTGAAAAAGTCCATGGCACGGCCGTCTCCTTCCCCATGAAACCAACGGGAGTGGACGGCCCACTCTTGCACTTCCCACATCAAGCGGGCAGTTGGAATCGCGATCAAATCGGCAAAGCCGAGAGGAGTGCCGCAAAGAAAGAGTCGGAAAAGGCAAGTGAATGCAAACACAGAAGTGATAAACCAACCGGCTCCGTGTGTGAGGTAACCGACAATCACTTCCTGCATGGTTTTGGGTGTGGTGAATTGGACACCGGTCGCCTGCAACTCCTCCACAATTTCTGGGTCTTCTGCCTTCAAAGCTTGCAAGCTGATCATACCACCCTTGTTTGGATTCGCCTCTTGGATAGCAGCAGCGAGGGATTCCAGGCGATCCCAACGGTTTGTCGTTTCTTCCTTCTCCATAAGCAACTTCTTGAATGGGTTCACACCAAAGTCATCCTCCAGCAAAGGATGCAGACAAAGGAGAAGGCGACAATTTCCGAGCAGCAAGAGTGTTGGTTGAAAATGACAGCACGGCAGGAGCGGCCATTGCGACGGAAAGGAGGAAACCAGAGATCTTCATGTTTGCTAGATAGAGTTTTGTAGTTGAGCGCGTATTTTTCGAGGTTGGTGTTTTCGAATTTTTAGGATTTGAATTTTATGAAGAAGATGATGGCAAGGAAGATCTTGGGTGATCGATGGCTTCGCGAGGCTGTGGATGCATTGATAGCTCAGCCACAAGGATGTTTTGATGTTTTGTTGCGTTATCGTGCATTTTGGTCCGTGTAAATCTCTTCTCTCAGCCACAACACTAAAGGTGTCTAAGTCATCGTGCTCCTCAGCCCTCTTTCGAAAGGCATCCGCGCTATCATCAAGTAAAACTACTCAGCTACAGTACAGTACCGATACACATTTGAACATTTTAACTGCACCATGACCTCAGTGGTTACGAATGTTGTGGGATTCAATATCACATTGAGGTAAACTTACAGGGAAGTGTTCTCCATTCTACAGTGGAACCACCACCGAAAATGGAACCACCGTATCGATCACAGTATCGCTATGGGCCGTACGCGCAGAGCAAGTAAGTGCACTCGTAGCTGTACCGGTAAAACTCCAAGACACAGTGGCGACTTTTGCTGCGTCGTCCCCGGGTCCAGGCCCCCATGTAAGATTTGCAAGCGTGGCTCGTGGCTGTGCTACAAGGTGGCTGTGTAGCTTGGGAGCTTGGGGGCTTGGGGCTATGATATGTAGCTCGAGCTAGCAATACTAGGTGTGGGGTTGGCTCAGCGAGCTATGGAGCGAGTTGCTGCAGTGAAGCTGTCAGCGGAGTGATAATATATATCGTGCTTGTGCAAAACTCAATACTGCAGCACTGCAGCCACATGAAGTTGACCAAACGCAAGAGAATACAGCCTTTGGAAAGACCTTGTTTGGCACGCAGTGGTGGTTCCGTTCCATACCACGGTGCCTTGCAACCACTCACATGATTTAATTTTCTCGGTCCTACAGAACTGCTTGCCTAAGCCCTTCTTCTTGACGTCTCTTGATCGGGGAAACGGGAGCTACGAGAGTTTGAGGTTGAGTTGCAAAGTCAATCATAACTACCGTACAGTACCTATTCTCCATTCAGCCGCACCCTTCGTAACAGCTTCCGTGCTTAGGTCACAGAGACCTAAAAAGATTTGCGAGCGCTGCTCTGCTGTATTTGCCTTGAGCCAATCTAGTAAAGCGCAAGTACTACTAGCTAGAGTACAACGCACAGATTCGATTGGCCAATCTAGTAAAGCCAAGCTACTAGAGTACAACGCACAGATTCGATTGAATTGGATTCGATTCGGAGTCTCAGAAAGCCCATCTGAGTGTGAGAGAATGCAAGACGGCCCCAGTCACAGGTACGTAGTACGGTTGCAGCAACCTGAATGGTAAGCTTTTCACGTTACTCGAGCACAGGTACAGATCGAAGAAACTTGTCAGGTTGCAGGTTAGAGGAGGGACGGTACGTAACCTGATACATAACCAAAAGTTGAGAAGAAGTGTTTGGTCCGAGTCGTAACTACGAAATGCCATCTGCAGGGCCAGCCTCTCGTTCACTGCATAATAGGCTCCTTCTTGACGTCCTTGTCTCTTCCAACTTCCAAGATACCCAAGAGATGTATTAAAGTGCACGCCCACAATAATATATGCCAGGAGGAGTTCAACAACTTCCCAACTGAGAAAAGAGGTTACATCGCTATGATTGATCGTGCAGTATGAAACGCAATCAAATAATGCCCGAAGCACGAAGAGCTAAATGTTACAGTCCAAAAGCACATCTACAGTTTGGTGTCTTTGAACTCCATCATTCTACCAAAAAGAACTTCCGAGATGACCCAACGAAGTGGGCCAGCACTTGGTTTTTTCAATCCTGGTCTCCTCCCAAGACAAAAATTAACCTTGCGGTGGAGCCCAGCTGCTGGGAATGACTGAACCCTCAGGTCATCTATATATTATGTGAAGTCTGCTTGCCACCATGATGGTTCGTTTCTAGAGGGTAGCCCAAATGGGCTCTTGGACCTCCCAGATACCCTTGGCACACTTTTGGAAGATGGCCTCTTCGTCCTTGGTGAGTGGCGAAGACATTTCGACACCTAAAAAAAAAACGATTTGTGAGCGGCATGCTGCCATAACGATGGCGTTGTGACGGCCCTGACATGCAATTTTCTGGACTTGCCTGTACTCCATTGCTGGAGAGACTGCAGGGAACCGAGAGGAAGACATCGTCTTCGACACCGTAAAGCCCACGGACACAGGTAGAGACGGGGACGATGGTACGAGTGTCATTGAGGACGGCTTTGGCCAAATACGCCGTGGACATGCCAATAGCCCTGTGTACCGGTAGAGTAAGAGTCGGTAGTGTGAGTTTTCAACGACAAAAAGAACAATAAACACTTGTAGCTAGCTTGCCAGCTAGAGCAACCAATACCAATAGATAGTATGCATTGTATTGTATCGTATCGTACCAGTTGGTGTATCCCTTGAGGTTAATGACATCATAGGCCGAGTCCACAACCGCCTTGTGAATGGCCTTGAGTGTATCATCGGGTTCCTGACCAGGGTCCAACAAAGGGAGAGCACCGACACGGACCGAAGACCATACAGGGATGGAAGAATCTCCGTGCTCACCAATAATGTATCCGTGAACATTGCGTGGGTCCTAGTAAAGACGGAATAGCATTCATGAAAATTGGCAGGTTAGAAGAAAAAACACATTGCCTGTATGTTCACACCCAGAAAAAACTGGCAGCTCCGAGCTCATCTCTCTCTTTCCC